AAATCATGCGGCAGCTATCCTGACACGACAGACAGCCAAAACCAGCAATTGTTATAACCGCGAATGCAGAGGTCGCGTGCGATCAACCGGAAAACAAAGAAGCCTTCGAGTAGTGTTATCTTACGCACGAGACTGTTTGTTGAATAATAACATCTTAGAGGTCGGAAATTTGATTTTTGTGCTAACTGGCCCTTAATACAAAAAAGGATGCCTCCACACACTCGCAGTCAAATTTCAAGCACCCTACCTCCGAGCAACTACAAGTGCCACCCGCACGACCGCACACCGCAGAGGCCGTTGCGATCTCGGCCCCCTCGGGATGCGCGCGGTGGCCGAAGAGGCCCCTCATGAAGCCCTCGCGGCTTCCCTGCGAGCGCGCTCAGCTGCACGGTTTATGCCGCACTGTAATCCACACCAAACAGCATACGCGCGCAAGAGGGAGAATGTTCACCACAACACGTTTCAGGTGTGTATTTTTTATATAAAATGCATGTCGGAGTCCGCGGACCGGCTCGCACCACTCACACAATTCTGGTTGAGTCGGTTAGCGGCTTAAAAATGGCGGAACTGAGCCCCCACACGCTGCGCGCTATTTGTAATCTCGAAAGGAAAAAAAAAAAGAAAGAAAGAAAGGCAGGTTCCACGCGCTATGGTCGGATTCATTCTATTTAGAGTTTTATTTGACTCAAAGTTGAGTTTTATTTACCAGAGTTTTTTCTTATGGCCTGAATTTTCACATTTGTTTACTAATGGCGTGTGCACTCAGGCTATCTGTTGGTGTGGTGTAAAGTAAATTGTTATGTCTTTAATGCAAAAGTGTGAAATAGTATACTTGGTCAGCCTGAAAAATATTAAATGACGAAGAGTGGCTGTCTCAGACTTCTCACACGCAGCCGGGTTAATGCATCAGGGAACGACAAACAGTACAGTCTCGCAGAACAGAAGAGATAAGGAAAAAGTTGCCCTTGGCGTTACCATTCAGTATACCTTCCCAGAAATGTAATTGAGAATTGCACATAGGGCATTGCACCTTACCTTACCTTCTAGAAATGTATTGTTATTGACACTCACATTTTAATGCGATCATCGCCACGTTGTACTAAGTGCTTGGTTACCCGTTCTTTACTCCGTCTCAGCGTATAAACTGGAAAGTTTTCCAGTCGGCTGGAGTGCATGCTTCCTCTCAAAACAGTAGAATTGGAATTGCGGCTCAAATATTGAACATTGGGAAACTCTTTCAGATGTACCGAATGAGTGGAGAAGGCGAAACGAATATTTCTCACATGACCAGCTGCGAACAGCGCTAAAAAACGTTGGACCGCGACGAGGAAAGACACAGACAGAGCGCTGTCTGTATGTTTCTTAAAATTGTTGTTACTTTTGCGTAATATATTTGCGAACATCTCAACAGCAAAGTTTCCTGCTGACTTGGATTATTTGCACTCTTCACTGATTTCGTTCGTTGGCAAAATAAAGCTAATTTGCAAACAGGCCCCAGCCCCTACGCCGCCACCCCCCCCCCCCCCTCACACACACACACACGGAGCTAAACCTAACGCAGGCAGCACATAAACGTGAAGAAAACGACGAAAGAACGTCGAAGACGCATGTGACGTGACGTCGTACAACGTCGAAGGTCCGGACGTTACCTTCCTTGGACGTCGGTGAAACCTTTACATGTGCGCGACAAAAGATGCACAGAAGGTTGAGAAACCGTTTCCAAAGACGTTTGCCATACGTCACAGGCACGTCTCAATGGGCCGTTGCGTCTTCCCTCGACGTTTATGATACCTGTGTTTTCGACATCCGGACTAACAACGACATTCATAGATCTTCGAGAAACCATTCCAAATAACGTTCCCTAGGCGTCGTGGAGGAGACGCTGTGTCCACCCCCCCCCCCCCCCCCTCACTAAAAAAACAAAACAAAAACGTTTTGAGTATTATTGCGAAGGCAAGTTGCTCTCATGCAAGTACGAAGGAAGTAACTAAAACACAGGTTTGGTACGAACTGTTTATTTTAGTATTTTCAGACACGAAATGCAGTACGGAGCGCCGCCAAAAGACGTCCCTGGATGTGCCAGCCTGGAGTATATAAAACAAAGTCACGTAAAGAAATGAACAAGGGACTATGCCACGCTGCGCGGAAAGTTCCACCGCTTGCGTTGTTCTGCTTCTGATTAATCCGCTGACAGGCGTGCTTTACCCACCCCATTGCACATAGCTGGTACTCTCGCTGCGAGCACGGGAATGGTTTCAGAAGTGAGATCCCGTCCGCTGAGCATTCATGACTGGGATCGTCGGAGGCGTCTGAAGGGACTTGATGGAAGACTGGACTTTAAGCGCCATTATCTGCACTGCCCCTACTTTTCTGAGAGGCGTCATTTATATCCTCACAGGCACCTTGATCCCAGCAGTAATACGATTCAACGTGTGAAGCGTCATGGCCTTGAAAAAGGTCCGCGAGCCGTAACTGAACACGACGGGGTTTTTGGCGATCACCAACTTTTTAATAGGGGCGACTCCGTCTGGACAGCAATATAGAGAAATCGAATCGCAGCACTTCCACTGTATGCAGACTCGAAACAAATCACGGCGACAAACATCCTGCCTCATTGACACCGTAGACGTGACGGACGGTGCTAGTGACTAACTTTAGGAAAAAGCTGGACCGGGTGATACCCAGAGCTGTTCTCTCTGGGCCAACATAGAATTCAGTGAAATGTATTGGGAACGAATATACGTGCAAATGGAACTAACGCTTGTCGATTGTTCCTCGCCACTATCTTCCCCCACTTTTCTCTCTCGCCCTCTTCTTGCCGATTTTCCTGACGCATCGCATGGGGCTCTATTGAGATGTTACTGGCATCTCTTCTGTTGCCTTTCCGCGTCTCTCTCGTGTCGCGTTGGCGCCGGCTGTTTTTCTTTCTTTTTTTGCCGACCCGGAGGTGCGGGTTGGACTTGAACGCTTTTTGGACCGTCGTCTGGGCCATTCAGCGGTAGACATCATGAGTGACAATCTACTAAAACTGTTAACAGTATCAGCCGGATTTCGTCATTGCCGGGCATTTTATTTTTTGGAGTAGTGTTCAGAAATGCGCAAGTGTGCAGTGAAATTGTGCTCCGATATAGTGCGTGTCGGCATGCGATTTTCGTTTGGGTACATCATCAGCGCCAAAGAAAGCAAGATCTGTTTGATGGTCACGTAACAGGACTGTGCCCCGATCTACTGAAAGCGCTAATGTGCTGGAAGTTGATGTTGTGGATGAACTGTGATGTTGATGCGAATTTTGTGGTTGTGCGCAAGTAAGCATTGGTAACAAAACACGAAAAGAAATCGCTTAAGATCAAAACAATGAAAGATTGGTCGAGAAGCAGTATGGATGCTCCTAGGATATGATGCATGCCTGAAATCATTTGGAGAGGGGATAGTGTTGCGACGCGCCTGTGGCGACGCGCCTGTGGCGCATGTGTGACAACACATGAAACAAGAGTATCATGCTTTTGCTTACCAACTTCTAGTCGACTTCAAAAACTTTTAATTAAATAAACATCTTTATCAGTGTGCTACAGTGTATTTTGTGTATGCAGAGTCATTTCTCTCTCTCCACTACAGGCAATGGTTAATTTAGGCCTAATGTCAATCACTGGTTGGCGACACTATGTTCCTAAAATTTATATTGCAAACAGATTTTACGCTTCTCTGTAATATTTTAAGGCTGTACACTCGGGTTTTAAGTGTAGAGACGTGGAAAGGGGACGTTCGAAACAACATCTTCTCACACACAGCCGGTTTCCTACACAACGGATCGACAAACAATGCACACTGAAAAAATAACGAAAATAAGAAGAAATCCTTGGCACATCCGTGTTTTTGTATCTTGCCTCACCGCTGCAACGAGGATCGAAGTGTAATTGTACGCAGAGTTTATTGGGGTGTGAATTCCAATACCAATGCATTCCTACAAGAAGTAAATCTGCAATGCCATAGGAGCGACGGAGCGCACCCTAAAACCTAACAAAAAATACATGAATTTTTCAGCGAAGCTGTTTATGGTTTGTGTTTCGTAGAGTTTCCATATGCGTCAACAAAACCCCTACGCTCGCTCAGGCGAACGCGCCTCGCGCGTACACCTTGCATAAAACGTTCGAAGTAAATAACTAAAATAAAGCACTAACAAACGCGCGTGCAAGATCGTGGCGCGATATGTTAAAAACCCGACTTTTCCGGTCGATTTAAAGAGCGTGGCCGATATTTGAAACACCCGATAGATTAGAGGAGGTAGGCTATAGTCACAAAATGAGAACGGCAAGTGGAGTTTCAGTTACCAAGCCTCCAAGACGACCTTCTTACATTTTAATACTTCGACGTCTAGTGAGGCTCGGGCATGAACGCGCAGTCAAACAAACTGCAGTGGAAGGAATGGAGCGCGTGTTGGTGGCCAGGCGTTCGAGGGACACGCATGTCGCTTCCAGTCTACCGGTGGCTATGACTGTACTTTCGTTTCTCGCGCCTCTATCGCTACCCCTTTTTGGGGGTCGTGACCCACAGTTTGAAGAAGCACTGGCTTAAAGCACTACACTCGTTTCCACAACTACAATAAAAAAGCAAGTTTTGTGCATAGTTCTTACATTTCGCTAAGTATTTACTGCAGGGTTTCATTCTCAAAAACAAAACGAAATACTTCGCTTTTGAAGTGCGTTTTCAGAAAATATCTTTAATATCTTAATTATTCGCATGAAGCGGAATATTATCACCGATCCGCGATGAGCCAATTTTTTGTGCCGATTCTTGTTTCTGTGCCTTTTCAATGATTACATATAGTATAGTCAGCGAAACGTTCGCTGCCGCTATGATGCTTTCATAATGTCTCTTTTCAAAAAGAAAGCTGAAATAATATTGTTATTGGGGTGTGTCCAAAGTAGCTTTATCGAAGTCGGTAATAGGGTCTCGCTTCATCTCTCAAAATAGTTCTTGGTGGCTAGGCACCCAACTTTTGTCTAAAGGAAGAACACGTTCTTGAAAAACTCTCTGTCGTCCTCGTTGCGTTCATGGTTCACAACGGTGTACAGGTCGTGTCTGTGGTGCTTCCTTATGGGCGTCTCCTTTTTCAACGAAGACAGATGGTCCAAGTCAACTTCCGCCATTACCCCTGCTTCATCATGTCCCGCCGACTGCACCACATCTCCCCGCGGATCGATCAGCATGCTGTGTCCGCAAGGACTATAAGTCGCGTCTTGGGTCCTCGGAGCTGACACCGATGCCACGTCTATCTGGTTGTCTATAGCGCGCGCTCTTGGAAGCAAATCCCAGTGAAGAGGACTCAAAGCCGTGTTGAAGGAACCAGGAAATACCAAGAGCTTGCAACCAAGGTCCGCGTAGAGGTGCGCTAGAGGGGCGAACCTCACCTCTTGGGAAAGTCCCACCGCCACTTTGCAGAAGGGAGTGTCGAAGGTGGTCAGGCGATCACCGGGCGTCAAGTAATCTGACTCACGAAACGCTTGCCTGCCAGGAACGTTTACAACGAGGAGGTTCAATCTTCGATGCTTGGCAACCATGGAGCCATCGGGACCGTATACCAGGCAGGTATCGTACAGTGCTAATCACACTTGTCTATAACGCGCGAGCGTGCGGCTTTCTCCGGGGAGCGCTAGACTGGTGGCATTCGCGGAAACTAAGCTAGTCACGTGGCGCAGCATGGAACGGTCCACTCAAGGGGTGTCCTGCCCCCTGTATCAACTTGATAAGCGATAAAAGTAAAGTGCTTTATGATATATTTTTGTTTTTTGATGACGATATCTTTGATACGCCTTCACGCTTTAGTTTGTTTATTGTTCGAGCAATGATGTTTGTAAAAAGCGTGTGAGCAGCCTTCCGCGTTAGCCGCCAGCTGATAGAGCGGGCAGGACAACCCTCGAGTGGGCCGTTCCATGTTGTGCCACGTGACTAGCTTGGTTTCCGCGAATGCCACCAGTCTAACGCTCCGCGGAGAAAGCCGCACGCTCGCGCGTTATAGACAAGTGTGATTAGCACTGTACAATTTTCCGTTGTCCTTCTCGGCCATAGAACCTCCGACGAGGTAGATCTTGTTCTTTCTTGCGGTAGAAGACAACATGTCACTTGTCTCTCCTGGAATGGTGTCGGCGTAGAGCTCCAAGTTGTTTAGCGTGTCGCTTGAGTAAGGAAACGTTGGAGACAGGCAGACAACTTGTGCTCCGCCGGACGCAAGTCTCTTGACGTGCATCCGTGCGTTCCGCAGGTTTTCGGATTTGTTGGTTGTCAACGACAGTTGTAGCAGCGCCAGGTAGAACTTGCTAGCTCTCATAATACTTCCAAAAAACAGACGGCCGCAGACAGACTCGTGGCTCTTTGTTGATGTGCACCAAGCTTGATATAGCCGTAGTTTCATAAAGCAAAACGAATTAAGTTTGCGGCGCTATACCACATTCGTTCCCTAACAAAAAATAAGGGGTAATTATATCTGAGCTATAAGATAACGTTCGCAATTGGTACACAGACATACAATTATATGGAGCGTAAGGGTATATAAATAGGCTGTTATTCAAAATATTAAAGACAAAAAAAAATTTAGTTACCGTGTTTTATGCACCTGCGCCCAGAGTCTCTTCCGATTTCCACAGAAGTTTCCCAACCTTTAAGGTCTAAAACAACGTGTAACAATTTTCCTGGATGGTATTTAGGTCGAATCGCGACGCTTGCTGGAAGTCACTTTGAGCATGATGGTTTAAAAAGACGAGAATTGACTGAGAGCAAATGAAGCAATACATAAGCTAAATCACTTTTGACTTGACATTTATGTTACTTGGTTCAGGGTTATTGTAATACTAATGTCTTTTATATTTTATATAGTTTTGAATTTAGCACTAACAGAGGCCTACAACGCCGAGCCGTTCGGTGGAATGTGTTATAGCCGCTAAGCCATTCGTAATCTTCCGTAAAGGTAATTAAGTAAACTGCCTATGTTTTTCACGCATAAAAAGTACTGTCTTATATTTTAACAGGACCTTAAAGTTAAAGGCTTTCCAACGCGACATAGATGAGAGAAGTGTACACTCAAGCACCTGCGTGTGTTAGAATGAACACACATTTGTTTGTCTCCTGAATGATGTTTGACAGTTCGTTTCAATGCGTGAGTAATAGTGCCCTGGTACATGCCCAGACCTCGGACTGATCTGGAGCACACGTATATAAACTTCGCAACGTCGCCCCGGGATGGCGCAACGGTCCCACTGACTGCGGAAACTGGCAAGGAAAAACCTCCTGCAAGAGCGGACGAATGCCGCCGGGGTGTATATTTCGAGAGGTTCGCCGAAAAGAGGCATAGCAACGGAGGTCGCACTGGATGCGCTGGTGATAGACCGACACGCTGGTTCCAAACAAGCCCGCTTTTGCCCACACCAGGTGGAGGCACTGCGCGAGCGCAGAAACCAGATTCGCGTGAGTTGAAGCTTTTGCGCATGCGCCGCGGCGACAACAGCGCCACTGCAGAGGCGTGACGTCAGAGCTGTGACGTCACTCGACATATCCTCCTTCGCCAATTTCGGAGCTGCGTAATTGGGGACGACGGGTGTATCACTGGGAGTGGGGAACGTGTTAAACATCCCCCCCCCACCCCCTTTAACGTGGAAGGGGGGGGGGGGGGTGTTTCGACCTAACTAACTCTCCTGCACCCGACTGGTAACGGTCGGGTGCAGGAGAGCTAGTGGGCATCGATTTTTTTTTTCTATTCCCGGAACTGCAGTGTAAAACGCAAACATTTTAATTGAAGGAAATGACATGGAAAGAGGGTAGTTTCAAACTCAGCTACTTACTTTGCTTCCACGAATCCTCATAGACCCAGAAATCTAAGGCCGACTACAGTTATCACTGAACTTCCACAAAAAGACAGTTACAACAAAAGAACTGGTTACCGGACATCGAACACACCCTTGTATCCCGAACTTTGTTCAGTTAAAATATACATAAAAATTAACCTTTATTCCTTCTCCCTTTGTCCCTCACCTTCAAACCGAACAACGAATCTAGCCTTCGCGAAGAAGGACTTGTAGTTCTCTATACTGACCTCCCAAGAGCCCTACCGAGAAGCAGCTGTTGTTAAGTTCGAAAAAGGGACCTTGTTAGATTGAAACGTGTGAGGTTGTTGTCAAACGCTCGTGCAATGTGGGGTAACAGTATATTGGCTTGTCTAATTGCCCGTCAGAAACATAGATATGGTTAACAGCTGAGATTTTTAAAGGTGAATATATGAACATATGAAAAAGTTCCCGCGTGTTTTTTTTTTTCCTGCTGCCTTTCCGTCACGGCATTCAAATTCGTACCTGCAGGATAGATGATAGGGTAGATAAAAGGAAAAAAATGATGGAATAGATAAAAGAAAAAAAAAAACTTTGGTCGATTTAACTAAACATGGTGATCATCGAAATGCGAATGTAACGTACATGTAAGGATACGTTCCATTTTTTTAACTGTAACGAGAACGGGTTCCCTCTCCACATACGAAACTTGTAACGGGAATGCGTTCCAAAAATCAGAAGGAACGAGAAACGACCTTTTGTTCGTTTTTTAAGAACGTGTACAACAAACACTGGCTCTAGTGGGCTCCTCCCACCAATGGAAATGACGTCCACTCTTGATGTTGTTGTTAATGATGTAGTTGGCTTAGTAGGGCGTAGGGTGTCTCTCCGTCGATGTTTTAAAATCCTTAAGAAAAAAGCAAAAAAAAAAAAAAAACGGCTTCCCCCCGGGGAAATTGAACATTGGTCCGCGCCTCTTGAAGTGGAGACGTTGCCACACAGCTAGACCACAGATTTTGTATAACTTTATTACTGAGCTACGCCAAACCCTTATTAACCCACTTTATTCTTAGGGTTCTCGAAGTACCCGAAAGACACAGCACGCGCGCTTTGGAGAAGTGCAAGGAAATATACGATAACAAACTGCCGTCGTACCTCAGCCAATTCTAATAGCTCGTACTGGGAGGCGCGCCTTCACGCGCTACGGAAAAAAAATAAACAAAAGCGTTCCGGACAAAATGGCTATATGTCTATTTTCTTCCGAATGCTTTTGTGCAGATACCTCACGGTCCGTGAACGTGATTCCGATGCTCAACGACTTTTTCGTGACGTGTTGCAGCTATCGTTGTGACTGTGCTGTGCATGAACACATTGGGTAGGGCTCTATAAAAAGATTGAAAAATAAAATTTCCTCAATCGCTACCGCCTCGAGGGCACAACCAATATTAATGCCAATTTGATATAAATGAATTGGATCCTAAGATCAAGTGTGAATTTTACCAAAAAGCAAACTGGGGGCAAAAAAGGAAAAAAAAAGTACCGGAAACAACCCAAAGGAACACCCTGGGAAAAAAATGAAAGACGTTTACAATCCGCTGTAACACTGAATTAGAGCGCAGCTCTTGAGGAGGAGGAGGGGAAGGTACGGAGAGGAGGCTAAGTTCCTCCTCCTCTCCTGTTCGCCTCCCATTTAGGGGAAAATTTTCCGCTAAATTTAGCGGGGGAATTTCACGCTAAAGTTAAAGGGAAATTTTTCCCGCTAAATTTAGCGGGGAATTGTTTTCCACTCAATTTAGGGGGAAAACTTTTCCCCGCTAAATGAGAAAATCTTTTTTCTCATTTAGGGAAAAAATTTCCCGCTCAATTAGAGGAAAAAATTCTCCCTAACTCTAAGCGCTCTTAGACGCTTAGGGCGCCTAAAAGCTGCGCTCTAAAACCAACGAGAAAGAGCCCATCAAAACTCGAGCCCACGCCCTCCTTCTACCGGGTCATGAGCGTGAATCACAGTGGGATCGGCGGCCCCGCAAGGCAACTATGCGCCAAGCGTTCCCGCCAATGTGATTACTTTTATATCTCTCGGCTCCCCCGGAGGGCTCCCCAGTGCAAGGGCCCCTGGCGCCCTAGTGCGAGGGACCCTCCAGGACGGGAGGGGGCAAAGGGGGCGAAGGGGACCCCCCCCCCCCCCCCTTCCCCCCGTCCTACCCAGGGAGACTCGAGAAGCCGCCACTCATTATGTCAGCCTTCCCCTTGAAGAGGCCGCCTCGATCATCCGGTGACCAAGCCGAGCCAAAGGCTCCCCTTCTCCGGCGGGGAAGGCTTCCTGAGAAGAGCTTCCTTCCCCAGCGGGGAAGACTTCCTGAGAGGAGCCCCAGAACTGGGGCTCCCCCCCCCCCCCCCCCCCGCCCACAGGCCGTGGGGGGGGGGGGGGAGGGGGAGGGTTTGTGGACGAACACGGGACTGCTGAATTTTACTGCGATAGCAGTTAGTGCGACACTTCGCGGGTTTATCACTACAACGTGAAGAACGTTAAATACCTCACGCTAGCGGTTGTACTGGACTGGCTAAATTTCTCCTCTACAGGTGGGAGGATCGCCGCCCGTTGAGGCAGACTAAGTTTTCGGCTGTATAAATATACACACAAGCAATTTTTTTATTTAAATCGTAATTGACAAATAAGAATCGATAACAGCACGGATGCTAATTACACAAATATTGCTTTGATATGGCCCAGTTGACATTCTGAT